TAATGTTACGATAAACCAACGAAATTTCCTAAATAATTTACCCCTCTTAATCCCTTCATTTATCTAATTTTTATATTAAAAATTATATTTGAAAATATTTTTCCTACCTCTTACCTATGTCTGTTGTAAAAATACTGTAACAATTATCTATTGGGTAGAAAGTTCCAACTGGATATGTCCCTGTGTTTGTTGTGTTGCTTATTCAGTAGCTGAGTGACGTCCACGTATTAGTGGAACAGTAAAAACCAGAAATAGAGTTAAGGTTAGTTACATTTTTTTCTGTTTCATACGCTTACATTATTACATTGACTTCTAAAAGTATGCAGACTATAATTCTGAAAAAAAACTTAAAACTAATCTGCAGCATAAATGCAGAGTATTTAACATTTATTAATATTTAACTATGCTGTTATCGTCTTATTGTTTTGCAAAACTAAAAACCTTATTGTTTTGTTTGTTTTTTCCTGCGTAACGCATATCATGATTTTCTTATTGGGTGAAACAGCCATTTCGTTGTTAGAATGAATAAATGAATACCAACTAATCAAGCAGCTTCAAAAATTGAATATTGAACAAATTAGACACACGATAGCTAGTGTGTTCGCGCGCGCGCCAGTGTGTATGTTTAAATTTATAAATTTAAATAAAAAGTACTTTCTATCATTCCTGTCAATATGTGCTACAATAAATGCATTTTATTTTTGTTTGATTTTCCTCTCAAAATATTTCTCTACAAAATTTACTTAATTAGTAAGATTAGTCTAGTCTTGATATTTAGATAATGCATACGAAACAGTTGGTTATCTATGTCAATCATATGACAACTAACTAAATTGTTCATTTTAAAGTATTAACGAATGAAAAACCAGTGAAATTAGGCACCATGCCTACTGAAAGTCATTAGTACAAAATAGGTTGAAAGCTTCACACAAAAACAACTTTTTCCACTTATTAAATATCACGATTAGAACTTAATCTGTGGTCAGTTGAATAGATTGAAGTCAGTTCAACAGTGTCCTCTTCAGTTGTTGGTAAATTATCACCATATTAAAACTGTTTACCACTACAAGTAAGGTTAATAAAGTTTTCCTGTTACAGGTATACGCAGCTATAATCGAAAAAATTATTGTCACTGACTTGGGTGTCGCTAACAGTGGAACCCAGAATTAGCTTTTCGTTCCATTCAGGACCCTGTATCCCAGTGCGTGATATTGTCCCCACTGAGACCCGAACCTTGTACCTATCGCTTCAAACGCTAAAGCGTTATCCAATTCAATCCAGTATAACAACGGAGAATTATAAGTATCAACAAATCGTAAGAAAAACATCTTTTCGGGATCAGGTAGGGAAAATACTGGTCAGGAAACCTTTTAAGCTTTAGAATTCGAACCCGATGGGCAGTAATAAATCACATATTGACCAGCCAACTTGCAGAATTATGCAGCATACTTGTGCAGATGTCATTTTCTGTTAAATATAATTTCCCTTGATACTTTGCAGATCAGTGAAGTATAAAATAATGAAGGTGGGACTTACATAATGTCCCCTATTACTTTTGGTACAAATTCATACTGTCATATTTGTTTCCGTAAGAAACCATCTAACCAAGATCATAAGGTTTGATCTCTGGCACAAAACTGTCATTAACTATGAAAGTGTACTACTAAAAAAACATGAGTAGAGGGACAAATGTTCAACAGTGCAACTCATGAGCTGAATTTAACCGGTTACACGGTCGACAAGCTTGGTCCTAGACGAGTGCAACGACTATTATTAAAATCATTCTGACCTGGAGAACACTGGATTCCAGGACCCGCGTTTCGTCCTATGTGGGACTTGTCAGCTGGATCTGCTTCCATTTTTTAAGCCCATATGGTAGTAGTGGCCGACTAATTCTGTCCAATCAACGGCTATTTGTGAGTTATAAAATGATTGAAGGACTGGAGCTATATTGCTTCAAGTTAATTATGTTTAGTCTTCTGATATTCATCAAACTACCATATAAAGAATTAATTACCGAGTTCCACTCTCAGTGGCATTTTAAAACTGTTTAGGGTGGTGAGATATTTAGTTGACAGTTTTTAAATAGGATGGAACATGCTTGTCGGATGACACTGCTAGTTGCCACCACACAAAATACATAGCACTAAAACCCCAGGTAAAATCAGGTCATTCGTTTACATGTCAACAGAAACCTTTCAGCCCCATCTATTAGAATAGTACATGAGAAATCAAAAATACTAATAGATTATCATTTTATTATTTGTCCCTTGGGTTCCTAGTGAAACATACGGCTTCAGTAGCAAGTCCCCATCCCACTCTCTTCTCTGAAATCTTTTCAACCTAGCTCAACAACTGCCCACAAGCTCTCATTTCCTCCTCACACCATCTCCTCCATGTCACCATCAGCTGGGACGCCCAACTCGCCATTTCCCATCTGGGTTCCACTCGATGGCTGGTGCGTGATGTCCCCGAATGGTCTTCTCAGTGCATGCCCAATCCAATCCATCTCCATTTCCTTCTACATATTTGTTGAGCGATAGGTTCTTGGTTGGTTCGTTTCCAGAGCTCCTCGTTGTCAATTCTTTCTGAAAATCCATCTGATCTTCCGTATCGTGCGTAGGCAGTCGCTGATGGATATCTGTAGTTTGTTGGAAATCCCTTTCGTAACGCGCCAAGTTTCTCAACGATATAGAAGCACTGGCTTGACTGAATTGGTGTTGAAAATCCGGATCTTGTTCACGCTTTATGCTGAGTGCAGAAGATCTCAACACTGATTTCAGATTAGTGAAAGCCTGTCTTACTGTCTTTTTGATCCTGGCTGCTTTGACGTCCTCGCCTGTTCCTGTGCCACCTGTAGTTGAAACAGTGATGCCTAGATAGGTGAAAAGGCTAGTTCCTTTTTGGTTTCTCCCGCTGATAGTGATTGGGGCGTGTTGTTGTTGTTGACTGGGTATCTTCATCACCTCTGTCTTCTCCACAGTCACTTGAAGTTCCGTTTTCGTTACCCTGCTTCTTCTATCAACTTGTTGGTTTTCGCATGTAGCTCTTCAAGTTTGTGTGACATTAGATACAAGTCATCGGCGTAATCCAATTCTTCTGGGTCTTCTCATCGGTCCAGTCAGCGTATATATATATATATATATATATATATATATATATATATATATATATATATATATATATATATATATATATATATATAACTAGTTAATTGGGATGATTTTGACAAGTTTTAAATTATCTTTCAACTTTCCGGTCAGTGAATTTAAACTTTTTGAAGATGTAGTGTTATGTAATTTCATCAGGTTTATATGCTCGAATGAGTTACAAACACATTTACAGACACACAGACATGTAATAGTTTGCTTATTTAAATGTATCAAAATGTAGATTTGACTATCTCGGGCACATTGAACAGTTCAATGATGATGACAATGGTAATGACTTAATAATTCATTCGTCATTTATCAGCTGTTAAGCATAATTAATTACCTAATGTAACATGTAAATTGATGTCTGTATTTGATTCTTATCTGTTTGATTGTTAAAAATGCTGAAACTATGCTGATACTGATTGTGGTTAGTTATACAAACAGAAAACATAACAGTGGTTTGCTGTGTTATATGATGAATCTTTGTGCATATCGGTGCGAACT